GGGGGGCGGGTCTGGTCTTTAGATTCTCCTCACCCTTGTAATGGCCACACTGGGGAACCCAGCAGTCAAGATCACTGTTCTACCTGCCCATGACCTTCAGGCCACCGTGAGAACCTAGTTCCTAGGGGCTGCCTGTGTAAGTACTCCTAAAACAGAACCCCCTCCCCTTCCCCGAGCCCCAACAACTCTGATTAGCAAGCCTCTGTGATCTTCCTAAACACACACACACACACACACACACACACACACACCTTAGAAATCACTGCAGAATAAAGTTAATAAAAACCAGACCCCGCTACTCAGGATCGCTGGCTAGGGGAGAAAGGCCGGGCAATCCCCAAATGGCTTGGGATGTACATTCTTAAGTTCCTTCATTTCTTCAAGACGCCTGACCTCTTGGCCATTCGTCTTTGGGACACTTCATCATGAGCCCCCCATCCCCACCTCTTGAGAGAAATGCCTGCACCCCTTTCGCCCAACGCTGGAAGTTCAAATTCACACAAACCCCACTCCAATGGACTCCTACCCCCTAGCTGTCTGGTCACTCTCTCACCCTCATCCAGAAGCAGCCAGCGGAAAGGAGATTAGAAACAACAGGGGGGGAAACACACTCCTGTCCCCCCACCCCTCGGGTTACCTTATCGTTCTGATAGGCGGTCACGGCAATGAATTCCGTTTCTGGGAACAAGTAAGTCCGGAATGTACTGTAAGGGAGTTTCAAGATGTCGTTGGCCCTCACGATGTGAAACCGGGGCTGGTATTTGTGCATGGAGTTTAGTATGGTCTGCAGGAAAACAAGGAGGGGGAGAGATGGGAGGGGGGGCATATTTTAACAAGACAAAAGGGATCTTAGGACCCCTGCCAAGTTGACACCTTCCCCCACCGCAGGGTACCAAGCTAAGGAGTCCACCTCCTAGGTGTAGCTCCTTGGCAAGTTTATCCGCTCCGCCGAGGTTACCGGCAGGAGAATCCAAATGGCTCCTCTATTTCCAAAGGGTCCCCCACCCACCCACCCTCACCTTCTAAGGCTCATTCGAACCTTGAACCCTAGCCTACCTGAGTACCAAAACTATAAATCCCCTGCAACGTTGGGTGATCACTTGGGAAGGCCAAAGTCTTAAAAGATAAAGAAAAACATGCATTTTAATTTACAAAATGATTCAGTACTGTAAGTGCCCACTAATTGATGAGCCCGATCCACTTAAAGCCCCTGAAAGGCTGAGCTGGAGAGAGGAATATTTATGCCTTAATCAAGTCAGGGCTGCAAATGCAATTCCTGCCGGCTGGAGATCTTTCCGCGCTATTCAGGTCTTCCTGGGCCTAATCTTTCTGCTTATTCCCTGCTTATCACTTTGCTTATTTTATTGAAAGTTGGGGAGGGTTACGGGAGAGGGCCAAACGTCCCGGCCAGACTCCCCCAAGCAATTCAAGTTCCCTACCCATTTCCAAGTGTCCCCACTGGGGTCCAGTACACATGTAAACACACACGCCCACGATTTTCCTGCCGACAAACGAGATCTGTCATTTTCTGACCGACCTCCCTTTCCTAGAAGCCCGGTTCTACTCGTTTTCTTTCTTTTTTTAAGGACAAGAAAACCCAACTTGAACGAAACGCGGTCGCGCGCCGTGTCAGCAAGCGGGGTCAAGGCTCCGGATCTCAAAAACCCTCCCGAGAAAGACTGGTGACAGCACAGAAGCACACGGTTGTAAAATAAAGCAAATCCACGATGAAATCCATAATGAAATGGATTTGAGATCTGAATGACTTTTTTCCTTCTTCTTAAATTCACTACCAGGTCAGGAATTTTCCAAGGGCCCGGGAAGGCTACAGCCAAGTTTTCTTGCCCTTGCTGATTTCAGAGAGCCAGACTTTCCAGGATCCGAAGCGAAAGAGCCCAGAATTCTCTCTCCCGCTGGCAGCTAGGACCAACCACCCTGCTAGGCTTAGCAAGGAGAGAGAGCCAGGGCACCTCTGCATAGACAGTCGTGATCTGCAAAGGGAACTAGGACGAGGCCGGCGCTGCCTTTGGAATAAGAGGGGAAGAGAGGGGAGTTTTCCAGCCCAGAAGAAGCCTACAGTGAAACTTACAAATCCGTGTTTGTCTGAAATGTTGTTGGTGAGTTTCAGTTTGTGGAAAGTGACTACTTTGGACATCCACTGTTCCCCAGTGGCGGGGCTGTCTGGGTGAATGTACATCCTCTTTGGCATTTCAGGGTCAGCTTTGCCCGCCACCATCCACCGAGAGTTGTGAAACTTATAGCGACAGTCATCCGCAGCGATAATGTCCATCAGTAAAATGTACTTGGCTTTTTTATCCAGCCCAGAGCATCTCACTTTAAAGGGGGGAAACATTCGCCTACAACGGAAGAGACAGAAAAGGACAAAAAGAATTTAAGACATCGCTCCGGACCCAAGATTTGTATCCGAAATGATCGAAACCGCGCTGCTGACGCTACGCGGGGATCAAGGAGGGCGCTTGTCTTTTTTAAGAGCAGGGTTACAGCCTTGCTTCCTCTCGCTACCTGAAGTGTTAACTTTTTCTCTATCAAAAGGCCCAAGCTTCGACACAAGTGAATTACTAAAACCCTTCTGCGTCTTCTCACATCGTCATTTTCTTCTGTTTTCAGATTGCTTCCTCTGGAGGACATTCCTCGCCGCCCTTCTTGGCCCAGAAATTCTTGTCTACGGCTCTCTCAGCCATACTTAGTAAAAGGGCTTGGTCTCTCCTGCCTCCCACGGAAGAGAAAAGGTCCCACTTATCTAGGGACAGAAAGTTCGGTAGTCAGTTGCAGCCCCTCAGCTGCAGGACAACAGTAGCTTGGCTTATTAAGGGGAATGAAACTGCTTTGCTGCGGGCCCTCTACAGAAACGAATGGTTGCCGAATGAGGCGTATTCCAAGGCCTCAAACCAACCTGCCCCGAGATCCAGTTGCTAACTGCATTCCGGGACAACACCCCCGCCCTCCCAGCCAAGCTAGCCCCAAACTGTAAGGTCATGCCACCAAAGGGCTGTTTATTCCAAACCAGAGATGGCATTCGGTGCCCCCACCCCCAGCCCTGATTTAAATCGAAACCCTTCCCTGGGAAACTGACAAAAAGCGCTTCTGATTTACGGTAGAACTTTCTGCCCAACTCTGGCCTCCTTTAACATTTAAGGAGACAAGAAAGTTGAAGATACCAAGAAGGGCGGGTGGGGGGGGGGCAGAAATTATTTTTGTCTTTTCCACTATAGGCTTTTCTAGATTCCAAATCTATAAAGGGGGGGAAACAAAAAAGACCACCCGAGGTTCTAAATGGTTAGGGTCGCCTCATTCACGCCCAGGCAGGGGCCTCTACAAACTAAGGAAGATGTGGCTTATCAGAGCTCGCATTATAAAAAGCCGCCTGGGTTTCTCCACTCGCTCCTCCGATCTGCAAACACAACGTTAATTCTGTGAAGTCGCTCGCTGAACTCTCCCTGGGCTTTTAGACACGTGAAGTCGTGTGAGCAAACAAACTCCAACGCCCTCGCGTTTCTTCTCCGGCCCAGAGGCTCAGGGCCCCCTCCAGACCCAGGAGCCACGCTGAAGGGCAGAGAGGGCAGGGCATGAGCGCCAGGCCTCCCACCACCACACAAAAGCCAGGGCCTTTCTTCTCTCTCTCTCTCTTTTACTGTTTGTTTTCCTCTGTAGGAGGAAAATGAAACACAAAACACAAACCCCAACAAAGAATTAAGGATGTTCCAGAAAGGTTTGCACAGGGGACTTCCTGTCGCCTGCGGCTTTCTTGTTTCCTGCAACAACAAAAAATTGTGAGCTTTTCTGGAAGGGGGGGTGGTTAAAAAAAAGGGCTATGTCTCTTGCAGGGGGCAGAACTAGATAGGGTGAAACTGCTGGTTGCAGGCGCCCAGGTAAACTGAAATTCCCTGCAGCTGGGGCAGGGCCCTGTGTGTCTCCCAGTAGTTCTAAGAAAACTTAAGTTTTCATCCAAGCGCTAGAAACTGGCAAACACACCGTTCTGGGAGGAGAGAAATAAGTAAGAAGTGCCAATAGCTTCGGAAAGGGGGGGGGGCCCACGGGCCTTGCTTACCTTCCTGACTTGGTAATGACCATCTCGGTGCCCCGTTTGTGGAACTGGTCCCAAAGTTCCTTGGCTTCGAGGTGCACCTTGGGGTCGTCTTCCACCTCCTCTTCGGGCTCCAAGGTCTTCAGAGGCCTCAGATGCGCCTGTGGCCCCAGGGACGAGAAAGGGATGCCGGTCTCGGCTGCCCCCACCAATTGATCCATGATCGGCTTGGCCAGGGCGCCAGGCAGTGAAAGCGCCGCGGCGCCGTTGGGAGGCAGAGTCAGCGCGGGGAAAAAGGGCGGCTGGTGGCCCAGCACAGCGCTCATGGCGAAGTCCGGCGCCCGGTGAGGTAGGAAGGGATGGTAAGCCATGCTTGTCCCAGGAATGACCGGATCTCTCATGGAGAAGTTCATCCACTCCAGGCGGGGCGCTGGGCTCCAGCCGGGGACAAGTCCGTTGCTGCTTTTTTTTTTCAAACTTGTTTCTTTTTCCGCTTGTTAACAGCAGCACATACTGAAGGGGCCAAAAAATAAAGGAGGGGGGCAATCACACTAAAGCACCTCAAGGGGAGAGTGTCTTTGGGGGGAGAACACCGCCGATCTTCGTCTTCAAGGCGAGAAATCTGGAGACATAGTCGCTGGAGGGGGGACTGTCCCTATGCCCAGCGGTTTGAAAAAGCCGCTCTGGGGAAGGGAAGTCGAGCTAGCAGAGTCTCGACTAGCGCCGGAGCCCGCGGGCTCAGCTGGGAACACACAAGCCAGCCCAGCGTCCCGGGAATCTCGGCCCAGCGCTCGGTTTCTTTGTTGCAAAAGCGAGCGATTCTCCAAGGCGACTTTTTTTTTACCTTGTCTTCTTCTCCCAGGGCCCCTCTACCTCCCGGGAGACGTCTGCCTTTGCACTAGCCCCGGCTTTAACCCGGACTAAGGTGGGGGGGCGGACGGGGGTGGGAGTGGGGAAAAAGAAAGAAAGAAAGAAATCGGACTGAAACCCCTTCGCCCAGCGCTATCAAAACTTGAACTGCAAGCCGGCTTCCGTTCGCTGTCCTCCTTCCGCGGCCCAGAGCTCCGGAGGGTGTCTCGGGTGCAATCCGAAATGTAGCTGTGCTCGGCTCGGGGGCCGCTCTTCCTCGTCCTAAAAATGTAAGCGGATTCACTTCCTAATTCTGCGGCCAGGCGCGGAGGGCTGGAAGGATCCAAGGGGGCGAAATGGCAAGAAGAGGGATCGAGAGCAGGAGAGGAAGAGGGAAAGGCGAGGGGAAGGAGGGCGCCAGGGCGGGCAGGCAGGCAGGCGAGCGAGCGAGAGCGAGCGAGCGTGAGCAACTCTCCACCCTCCTCGCCTCTAGAATTCCCCGGGCGTCTGCTCGGCGGCTCTAGAAGGTCGGGCTCTGCTGTGGGCTGCGGGGAGCCGGAGGCCTCTTGATTGGCTCTTTGACGCTTTCGGACCAATTGTGTGGCTGCATAGGCGTGGTTTTCACAGGTCGAGTGCTGGGGGATAGAGCCGAGTTATAAAAAGAAGGTGTCGGAAACTGTAACGTCGCTGCGCCGCATCGGTACTACTGCCTGTCCCGTGAATATGTCAACATGATCAGAGGGAGGGCGGGGAGCCACTGGGGAGCGCGCGCGCGCACCCGGAGTCGCCTCTAGGTGGCTTATCGGGAGATCGCCGCAGCCTCAGAGCTCCCCAGCTAGCTCTCCCTGGGCCCACGTCTGAAATGCCCCAGTCATCTTGCCCCGGATCCAGGGAGGAGGCAGGGCCAAGGCGGAGGGGGAGGGAGCGGCGAGCCTGCCGGCGGCGACGCGAGCAAGGCGGAGAGCGCGCTCGGCGCCGGGCAGGGGCGCTGGCCTCCAGCGTTCCCGGCTCGCCTCCCCGCTCCTCTCGGCTGCTCTCCCTCTTCCCCGGGCCTCGGCCCAGCCGGCCGGGCGGCGGAGCTCCGGACGAGCTGCCATTCGGCCGCTCGGCGCAACAAAGCCGGCGGCGCCCAGACGTCAGGCTAACGCGCTCCGCAGCCCCACGTGGAGCCAAGCTCCGCCTGGCCGCCCTCCGCTCCAGGCTGGCCGAGCCCTAGAGGGGTGGGGTGGGGTGGGGGGGTGCAGGTTCCTTTTTGAAGGTCTCTTTACATCTGCGTTGGTGTGGACACCCAGCTGTGGCCCGATCTGGGCACGGGGCGAGTGTGCACGGAGTGGGGGAAATCCCTCGCCCACCCTGCCCCACCCGCATCCGAGCGTAAAGACTCCTCTGTCCTCAACGCTTGTGTTAGCAAACACGCCGGCACACTCGGACCGAGACACACGTACACGCCAACACGTATACAGCCTGCTTCGCCAGCCCTGGGCGCTCGCTCTGGGAGGTGGACTCGGGGTTTTGTGAAATGCAGTTAGCAGCCCCTTAGCTGGTTTGGGTGTGGGCTCCCCGAACTCGGTGGAAGGGGGCGTGTAGAGTCGGGGGTGGTGGTGGTGTGGTGGTTTCAATGAGGCTCTGGACAAAAAGGTCTATGCCCCGGACCGCGTTCCAGGCCTGTCCCCGCCTAGTCGCCGCCCGCGCCTCCGAGGCCCGCTGGGTGCCCAGCCGCCTGTTAGAGGTGGGCGAGCCCGGAGGGGGGAGGTGCCGCCAGCAGCCTAGTATCTCCTGCAGGCACGCACTTATCTCTGGGTGCCTCGGTTCTTTCTTCTCGAGGGGACTTATCGCTACAGAAGTCCGGGACGAATTTGTAAAACAAACCGTGAAACGCCCCCAACCCTAGGGCGAGGTGACTGGTACCAGTTCAGGTAGGGTGGGGGCCGCAGCAAAGGCGGAGGGGGAGGCGGGAACCGATCTTAACTAATCTGACCTGCCGCCGACTTGGCCCCGGTGTTATCTCAGCTCCCCGCCGCCGTCAGGAGAGTCCCCCAAACCCAAAGGAATGGGTTGGGCTGCCCTGGCGCTGATGTTGGATGCTCTTTAGGCTAACCTCGGACCTTCTCTGAGGGACCTTGCTTTGAAAGCGAAGGGGGGGCGGGGGCAAGGGTCGCTTGTGGGCCCTGGAGGTTAAGAACCTCTAGACTTCCGATGATGTGTGTGTGCTAGAGAGCAGAGAAGGCTCTTACACGTGTACCCCCTGAGTCCCCAGGCCCCGGACTCTGAAGTGGGGGCAAGTGGAGGGTGAAATGCAATTCCGTTGTGGGCTAGCCGCGCTGAGATAGGGGCGGAACTGGAGTGGCGACCAACTCTTCCAGCCGCCCATTTTTGACGCACATGCTTAAGAGCGCTTGGCGCCAGTGCTGAGAATTCCCTGAAGTCGCCAGAGAGAATAAAGTGGTTTGGACACTGCCGGCTCGCCATCTCTCTCTCTTTCCTTTCTTTCCCTTTCGGTGTTTCTTTCTCTGCGGGCCCCCCCCCTCCCTTTCCCTTGGCCGGCGATTAGGAGAGAGAAAAAGAGAGGAGACAACGGGGACCCAGCGCGGTGTCTTGGTTTAAAGCGATTCACCAGGGCCCCCTCTCACTCCTCCTGCACAGCATCCTGAGGAGGAGTGCCGGAGGTCCGACGTTCCCTCGCCAGGCACCCACCAGCGAGGTCACTGCAGAGTGTGTACCGGGTGACAAAAAGCACCCCTCCCCACGTGGCTGGAGCTTGGGCCTGGGTTCGCTCCTCAGCTCTGTGCAGCGGCCCACACTCCTCAGGATCTGGCTCGGCCCTGCGCTGGCAGACCAATGTAGGCCCGATCTCTTCTTCTTGCAAGGAAAATTAATTCACCGCACCCACTCGGTGGCCCAAGCGTCCAGGTGCACTGGAGAGCCAGATACTGCCCCCGGGCGCTCCGCACTTGGGCTTGAGCAAAGGGAGGGAACTTGCTAATTTCACTTGTAAATATCCCCCTCGCCTTTGGCTCCGCCGAGCTGGACCCAAGCCGGTGGCTTCAGCTGGCCACGAGCCCCCTCCCGAAATCGCCCGCTCATGCCCGTAGCTCTAACTTCACCCCGGGGTCACTCCAGTTTCTACCCCTAGACTCCAGCCCGCACTCTCGCGCCCGAGGGAAGGGGGAAGAGGGAGTTTTGCGGGGTTGTGCCTCGAAAATGTCGACATCTTGCTAATGGTCTGCAAACTTCCGCCAATTATGACTGACCTCCCAGACGCGGCCCCAGGAGGCTCGTATTAGGCTGGGAGGCCGCCGTAATCTGGGATCAAAAGCTGGAAGGTGCGAACTCCTCTTTGTCTCTGCGTGGCCGCCGAGCCCCCCCTCCTGGTGGGCGATAAACCCACTCTGGCGCCGGCTTTGCGCTGGGTGATTAATTTGCGAGCAAACAAAAGGGACCTGGTGGCCACCGCTTTTGGGTTAAACATTGGCCAGCGCTGTTCAGAGGACTTGGGCCAGGCTGCCCCCGGAGAACTCACACTGGCTGTAAGCTCCAGAGGCTGTCCCCCGAGGTGATCTCTGCAGATCCCTCGGTCTTGGTTCCCTTGGCCTCGCTGGCAGCAGTGCGTGCAATGGGAATGAGAGACCAGATTCCGGGTCAGGCAGGGCGCCCGGACCCCTCCTGGTGTCCCGCAAATGCGCCCCACTCCCACCCTCCGCTGCTTTTGCAAAATGATTTTTCACTTAATGATGAAGCTGGACCCACCCACCCATCTATCTTTTTTTTTCTTAAATGAAAGAAAAATAGCAAATCCTCTGTAGACCAGCAATGGCTGTGAGCTTTAAGGCAGGGTGCACCGTATGCGTGGGGACAGAGGGGTCTCTAAATGAAATTCATCCGAATCAAGAAAACCCAACTAGCTGTCAACAGCCCAGGCCAGAGCAAGCAAAGAAGCTGGCCTATCCCTGAGGCCCGCCGGGGAAGTCGCTGCTTGTGTCACTGCTTCCAGCCACAAAGGGGACAAGCCGACCCCTTGGTGACCGAAAGTTGTTTATTTGAAGTTAAAAACAGCAACAGCAGAGTGGGAGGAGTGGGGAAGGTGGTGGGTCCGGGGGTCATTTACTTTGGTGAGTTTGATGGAAAGATTCCCTTCAGTCCTGTGAGGTGTGGGGCGCCCCCGCGATGGCGATTACAAGCCAGTATTCCCTCTTAAACTTTCACCTGGTTGACACTAAGCTTTTTGGAGTTGGGGGTGTCTCTGAATGGGTAGCTCTGGGGACACGTGGCCCATTCATATTTCTCCTGGGGTCTGTGGCCTAATTAAGAAGTTTCCTTGTGGGGGGGCACGTGCAGAAGCTTTACTGGGGAGGGGTTTTTCCTCCTCCACCTGGCCAGTTAGCGACGCCCCCCCACCCTTGGACCCCAGATTTGAAACGTTTCTAGGTTTGGGGCTTGAGAACTCGTAGCCCCTTCCACCGCACACTTCTTCAACTTGGGGGCTTTATTTCCTTATGGAGTTGTTGAAGAGAAGCACTTTTTGGCGGTGCCTCCCAGCTGCCCAGCCGCCCACTACCTCTCTTTTCTGCAGGCAGTTCAGAACTCTAAGAAACTCACAGACCTGGGAGACTGGCTTGTCCTCTTGGATTTTAGCACCACCCCTTCTCCTCCTAGTGGGTCCTTTCTTGCTAAGTCTGAAGGCTCCTTGCTGGCCAGACCCTTAACACCCCCCACCCCACCCCCTCCACCTCTGGCCAGGGGTAGGCCAGGCGTCTTGGTAGGACCAGATATAGGGCCCCATCTTCTGTAGTGATTTTTCCCCTTCTTTCATTTCCGGTCTCCCTGTCTGTTCATCTCAGAGGGATTCTGCGAGCCCAGGTCTAGTGTCTTTCTCTCTGGTCGTAGCCTGACAGGCTGTCTTCTCTCCCACCAATCTTCCTGGTTGTTAGTTTCTGTTTCCCCTTTGCAAGCCCTGCTCAGCTGTCTGTCTCTGGCTTCGCTGGCCATTCTCGTCTGGTGTTAATTTTCTCACTTCTCAATTCTGCCGCCTTCTCCACTCTCTCTAACTGCACTGTATAGTCTCGATCCCCCGGCTCCAGTCTCTGTCTTCCTGACACTGAGTCTGGGGTTCCTTCTCTATTTTTTCCAGTAATCAGGCCCAGAGGCCACCCCCCACCCCACCCCAGGCTCCACTGCCTCGTGCCTTGTTACCTGGGCAGGGAAGATCGTGTCCTGAGAGAGTGATTTAGGCTCATTTGGTCTAGACCTGACGCTTCTCCAGCCATCTACAAAGACACCCTCTCCCCAACATCGCTCCATCCCCGCTGCCCACACTGGGCGCTCTCCCTCTACAGGGCTGGAGCTCAGGGAGAGTGAGGGGGCTGCCCGAGGGCTCCCTGCCCTCTGACAGTCCTCTATATTATTGATCTGGGCAGGCGATACACTGGAAGA